TCGCACCACCATTCCGTTGTGGTGGGGCGATCAGACAATATATATTCAAGCACACCGAGGTAGCATTCATTCTCGACAGAGAGTTGAAAGTGTAAGCACGATCACTGTAAATTACTCTGTAAGTGCAAAGTGGAAATAAATACAAGCTGTTTGTGTAAAGTGACGCATTATTGAATTCCTGCTGACCTAAGCCCTTTACAAGTGTGTATTAAATCTAAATACAAAATTGAGCGCCTTACCTGTTGTAATCAAATGCGTCCGATATTTGCCCGGGAAAGGGAAATAATCGTGTATAGATTGGAATCCAACTTCCTATTTATGTCGTTCATACAAAATAATACCCACACAAACATTTTGTAAGCTTTGGAACGATGTAGTGCCCAGGCCGACGATAGTCGAGCTCCGTACCGAGCTGCGCCAGGACACAACGCGGACTAGGCGTGGATATTGTGGACTACCTTAGTGCTTAATATCCTTTAGTAGACAGAAACTACGTCGGCTTCGTTTCCACATTTCCCCGTTTAACTTCTCTGCAGTGGGTATGCCTTATGAAGATTGAATTCTATAATAATAATGTCAGTGTTTATTAGTTCGAATTAAAGGTGTGTTCGACGAACCTGGAACGAGACTTCAGATCAATTCTTGAAAATATGCTACTTTTGCTTGTGGACCTTTGAATATTTAAACGCGCCAAAAACAAGAAATAACAAATATCTTCTTGAGTACATCTTAATATAAGTTTTCTGCAGGTGGCTCTCTTCGTAGGTTCCCTAATTTTCTCCCAACTGCTACTAAGGTGGTTATCGCACAGAGTCTGCTCTTGCCTATTCGTGACCATGTACATGGTTGCTCCCCCGCCGACCCCGCCACCCCTCACTCTCTTCCTATATCTGAAAGAGTTCTTGCATTCGTCCCGCACATGCTCTCGTAGATCATCTAACCACCTTATACTGAGTTTGCCTACTCATGAAAGTAATGAGAAACTGAGTTATATATGGCAGATCTATCACTGTTAAAGCTGCTGGATTCAGCTCGATCAGCTCGCTGTTTCTATCAAGCAAGCAGAATCTGTGGGTGCGTTCAAAAATAAAGCCAAAAATTATTATTTGTCATTTTTGTCATTCTGTTAGATCAGTCGTCTATTCCATTTACATAAAAAATCAACTGTAGTATGTGTGCGACTGTGACTTCCCAGCTTCTGTTTGTCTTGTATAAATAGTTCCATGCGAACTAAGGTTGTAATAATATTATGGAGTAAATTCTATTTCATTTATTTCCACATATAATATATTTTATTGTATACATGCATAAATATATATGCTCACATAATTACCCATTTATATACATATAATATATTTGTACAAGTAACTATACTTAAATTACGCCAATCTATCCTATATTATCTAAAATCACCTCATCCAAGGGTTACTTAAGTGATATGTTTATTTTTACTCATTTATTTTTTCTATAAAATGTCATTATTTTAGCGTAACTTAGTGCAGTAAAGCGTTTTCGTATTGTACTACTCTTCCCAAGCACAATGACAGTTTGAGATAGTTGATCTGTTGTCTGTCAGACTGCGTCCACGTGCAGCTGTACCGCGACTCCCGGGCGCGCTGGGGCGGCGCGGGCTGCAAGGCGTCCCTGTCGCTGCAGCACTACCTCGGCTGCGAGAGCGGCTTCACTCTGGACAAGCACTCCAACACCCTGGCGCTCGTCTGCCGGGACCTCGTCGCGCTACTCGCCTTCGAGACCAGAGAGCGTCTCATACAGTGGCAGGTACGGTATAACTTTCATATTATTATGTATGTTGTAGTTTGGTTTCGCTACCAAACCTCCGCGACCTCCTCTACGACAAACATCCTGGTAGTACAGTAGGTCTTATGTTTAGAAACCGTTGCGCCTTAGAGGATTATAAGCCCGGCGCGCTCACATCCAGCGATGTGGCGACGTGCACGCTTATGTCCCGCATCCCACCAGGTACCAATGCTCTTTCGGAAATACGTACGTAAAGCACGTGTTTACGAACGAGTTCCACGGTGTAGACATTACATCATGTAGCCCGTAACAAAGGCATGTTTACGTAATACTGGTCCATAAGACGTACTGAGAACTCTCATTTCATTGGCACCATCGTGCCGCTGTATACACGTTTAAGATTGAGGTGAATCCACCTAATGTTATAAGGTTGATTGCGGTAGTACGCTAAAAAAATTCCCTTGCGTCTCCAGCCATAAAGTGATCTACCTTAATAGAGCCCCTACAGATAAGAACACATTGATGTGTTGTTCTAGTGACAATTAAATTATGTAAATATCACCCGAATAAATACTTCATTCATTAGTGTCGATAATATCATTGTAAGTACGGTACAGTTCAAACAACCAACGCTATGTGAACTCTAGTGCCCAGCTCCAGATAGGCGACTGTTGTTTTGCGTAGTTCCAAATTGTATAATATATATGAGAATTCACGTATAAACGTTTATATGATCTCCTCCCATGGCTGGTTTAGGTGAAAGTGAGTGCGCATTTGGGTGAGCCTCGTCACTACCTGCTGCTGGTGGGCTCTGCGGTTAGTGGCAGCAACAAGAGACTACCGGCGGGCCCTGCGAGGCTCCACCTTCACGAACGAAGGTTTGCCCTCACCGCTGGTGTACCTCCTCGGCTGTTGGGAGTGTGGGAGCTGGCACATCTGAGGTAATTCATAAAGGGTGATTTTTATTCTCTCATTCAAATTTAGAAATAAGGCAGACGTCCAAGTATTTAAATAAGTAAACGAAAACGAGATAAATAAACGAGACACTTGTCAAATGACATCTAACACAAGCAGCTTAGGAACTACGAGAGAACAGCTGAATATCCAAACATCATGTACTTGTGAACAAGTGCTATTCACTCTGAGCGGCGCCGTAAATGCATTCTGTGTTTGTGACTTTGATTTATATGTTTCTATGTAGACGCTACGGTGTGGTGGAAGGTCGGTTCTGCTTTGAAGGTGGTTCGCACTGCGGCAAGGGTGAAGGTCTGCATGTCCTCATCACCGACCAGGCGGTGGAGATATCACACGACTTCGACCTCGCTTCGCAAGGACGGTTGTCTCCAAGGAGGAGACCTGTTGGATCTAAGCGAAATGAAGGTTGACCATTTCATCATTTGGCCTTACTGCTTTTGATTGTTTCACTATAAATAAAGATCATCTAAACAAGTTCACAACGTATTTTGCTGATCACATTTTTTCGCATTATTTTACTACGAGTATTAAATTAAAATATGGAAATCACTCTAAAGCAGGTACGGAAAGCCCGAAATCACATAAAGCGTATCGTCCCGACACAAGGCTCTCTGAACTGAACACCATCGACCACTCGCTGCCTCCCATGGACCTTCGGCTTTACGAAGATCCATTCGTAGGAGAGGAAGCTGGTGCGATATCTCCTTACTGGCCTTCTACCGAGAGGACACACTACCAGGACATGGGTCACGGAGATACGGTTTCAGTCAACGAAACTACAGAAGGAACAGACACAGCACCGTGGAGCGGGCAAGGAAATGTAACTCTAGAGAGGTGCATGAGCTGTATGTCCAAGCTGGGAGCCCTATCTCGATCTTCGACGGCCGCTTTGACTCCAGGTGCTAAGCACTTTAATCCAGCATGGACTATGGAAGCGTTACAAGAAACTCCGCCAAGAGATGCAACTAATAATGACCCTTTACACTCACGCAATAAGACCGAAAATGTATGTCACTGCCCCGACAGACCGCCAGAGAGACCACCAAAGAGCAATAAATTAGATTTGAAATTAAATAAGAAGCCGCCAATGCCAGTTCCTGTACAGACGTGTAACTGTGCGCATGTACTTCCTGTAGAAAATTCAAGTAAAATTGGTCCCTATGAAAACTATGACGTTCCGAAGCTTCCTTCAGCAGACGTAAGTACACTACTTGAACTTTTTAATATCCGATACTGTATTATCAAAGTTTATGTTTTATGACGTCATCGTACTTCATAAAATATCTTTGATGTCCGAAATATAAGTGAATAATGAGGAATCTATACAAATTATACTTAGCTTACTCAGACTTACATTTAAAGAAATTCATTTTATTAGGTGGAGGAAGACTACTACGACACACCAAAAAGGCTCAAAGAAAGTCTCAACAACGAGCTTTTTAAAATCACAAAGAACTCGACTTCAAACGCCGTTATATTAAAAAAACCCTGCGGCTGTTTGCTCAAATTCGGCAAAAGACGGAGGGAGCCCACTGTCATAGACACCGAGGAAACCATTCAGCCGGGTAGCCAGTGTCCTTGCCAGCGAGTCACCGACTGGGCCAACAATTGGATTAAATTCCCCTACTGTAAAAAGACTACTGTTTCTAGTGATAATTTAGCGCTTAACAAGGAAAACTGTGTGCCAACGTACAGTGATAGAAGTGCTCTCTATGCTACCATTGATTTATCGCGGAAAACTAGACGGAAACTTAGCCCAGACAACTGTCGAGAACTACCCGCTGAAGACCGATTTAAACAATGTTTGAGTCCTGAAGCCGTAGAAGTCGACAACGGGCCTTTGGCTAATTACGAAAACCTTAACTTTGCATTGTCGCTTGAGTACTACGAAAATGCTAAAGATCTTCTTAAAAAAGCTGGCATCACGCAAACCGAGCTAAATGCTATCTCGGCGAATTTACGTCCACTGTCGTTGTCGAATACAGACAGAAACAGTATTTGTGCGAAGTGTGGCCATCCACAAGTAAAACAACAAAAAGATTCAAACATTGAAACGTTAGACAGTGGTTTAAGTGACGATTATTTGATCATGGAGCCGAAATCTCTAGAGTGTACGTTAGATCGGAACAGATCGTTACCACCCGGCTATACACCGATGTCACCTATAAGCAGTTTTGCTTTCCAGTCTCTGAAACATCCGGCAAAGAGTCCAATCAACAGACTGCTGGAGGAAAAATCTGCAAGTAATCCCACTCTGTGCGGTCCTGAAGAAACTCGAGGATGTAATTCTGGTTCTGATAAAAACTCTGGAATTCTTCGTGGTAATGGTGAACATAATGAAAGAATAGAATATAGGAAAAGATCAAGCTCAGCAGATTCTTCTAGATTTTTAGAAGACGTCAAAGAATTCGATGGAAGTGTCGAAAGTCACGGATCCACGTCGTCCATTGAGACCCTACGAAACATAGTCCTGGACAACGACAGGACGTCCGTGCCTTGTGATTGTCTGGTGGCGGATAACAAACACTCAGACGCAGATAGTTCAGAGGCATCAAAAGATCCAGGTCGAGGTGTACTGCCCGCTAAACGATCGTCTTCTGTTTCTGGTAAAGTGGGAGGGAACAGAGATTCATCGAGTTCGAACGACTCCGGTGTGTCGAGTTGTTCGCTCAGGCGGGGCGCGGAGCTGGGGGAGTTCGAGCTGCCCCTGACCAGGGTGGCGACGCGGCGGAAGTACGGCCAGTACCGCAGCGAGACGCACGCCGCCGGCGCCGCGCGCGCCACCCCGCCGCGCCGCTCGCGCTCCACCGACCCGCCCACAGACTTACCCACTTTACACAAGATTCGTGTCCCGGCGAAGTCCTCTTCTGCAGAAGCGGAGGTCCCTGTACTCTCTGTGAAATCACTTCGAGGTAAAATTACTGTCCAGAGCTTTGGCAACATGTTTGTAATTTTCAAAATGCTTCATGTGTTTATTTTTTTTGACAGGTGTAATGGACACGCACAGCACATCCAGCGGCACGTCCGACATGTCCGACTACATAGAGACACTCTCTATTTGTTCCTCTCACTCCTCCACCGATACTCCTATCACCATGAGGTAAGCCACTGAACTACTACTACTTGAACATTAATAATGAGCTTTCCGCATTGATGCAAAGGTGCGTTTTTTGTATGACGTAGCGAAGAAAAAAAATACTAGTTATTCAGATTGAAACATGATTGAAACACCTCCTTCCAACAGACGTCATTGTTTTGTATGAGATAATAAGGATAGATCCTGGACCGAACCCCAGGGCGTCTAGTTCGGGAACGAGGGCCCGTCAAATTCATGTTTTGGTTGAGAATTTTTCTAATATAATATTAGGATTGTTATACCAATTTGCTTCGATCAACCATCTTGGCTAGTTTGGGGTGATGCAACTCTTTCCACTCATGGATCACATACCCGTATACTCTTAGTTTGGTAGTGTAAAGCGTGTGTGTGTGTGTGCAGAGTGTTCCGGCAGACGACGAGCACGCTGCGGCCGCGCTCCGGGAAGGAGTACCAGAACCTGGACCCGCGCCTCACCTCCGTCTACCGCGCGCACACCCACTACACCAACCTGCCCTGAACACAACACTGCTGCACAAAACTTTACATTCATTCTATACGTGCTACCTATTTATTTTAGGAAATAATTTGAGCACTGTTAGATAACGTTTAGGTACGAAAATATTAAAAATCTCGTTTCAAGATTATGCTGATGTTAGCACGAGAGCTGAATATATTAAGTACATGATTTAATTTCAATCTCTGTACTTTTTTAAGGATTTCATAATTGAAGTGAAACTTCTTTATCGACGTAGGGAGGAAAAAACGTATGTAACGTTTTTCGGTTACGCGCCATCTTAATTTCTGTACATTTTTCCGTTACGCGCCATGTTTATTTTATTTCTATTTAGTTTGTTATCAACAGATGTCACGGCACGTAAATTCAACAATTCCTGAATCGCGGTGACGAGATGTTACACAGTTGATAAACGTTCTCGTCTTTCTCTTGCTATCGATCATACTTACCTGGCGTCGGCATACCGTAATCATGTAGGCGGTTCCCCCAGGGCGCGGCTGTTCCATTGCACTGCGGAATGGTTGACCCTTGCGATTATTTTTATATTTTATAAGTTTGACTTCTACCGTGTGTGACTTGCACACTCGTGGATGTCATTTGAGTATTTCCCACTTAAATCTTATGTATTGTTTTCAAAGTGCATATAATGAAACAACTAATAGAGTACAGTTTGCGCTCTATACTTCATTGCACGAGGACTCCGCGCATCGGGCTGGCAGTGTCCCCGGGCTCCTCCAGGACAATGATCAGGGATTAAATACTGGAACGCACGCAGTATCCTCCGCGGCCACAGTGCCGCGTGTTTGTTTATTTTATATTGTTTATCAGAATTAGGAACTTACCGAATTATCCACGTACTTCGTTGTTTTTATTATTCACTAACATTTTATAAGTCAAACTAAATACTGTCACAGCATAATAATATACATAATAATAGAATACCAAAAATAGGTGTTCACCACCTCAGGGGTTTAATTCTAGAAAATCGCTTACCAGTGAATATGTACTTAAATATGTGCGTGATTAAGAGAAGCTGGTGTACAAAATTAATGTTTCAAGTTCAATGGATTGTATTTAGTATAATTCAGCTGCGATTGATTACCGCCCCGTGCTGTCTAGCTACAGTTAGTCAGTTTGGTCACAGTACTCGCGGGGGCGGCGCGGAGGGGGCGCGGAGGAACAACCGATTTGAACCGATAGTGCTCAAATTATACCCTAAAAACTACCTACATACTATACTTTATTCATAAAGTGTACATTAGAAATTACTTATCCGAGTTGTGAAAAAAACATTCTGATTGTGTACAAATAAAAAAACATTTGTAAGATAACTAAAGAGAGCAGTGCAACTATTGTGCATCAGTACAGTGCACGTTAAAGTGATTTTCACCATTAAAATTTGTTTTCGATAGGTCAAATTAATATTATTGTATAGTCGAATGTGAATTATATGTAACTCACTAAGATGTTATTGAAACGATGTAAACTAAAAGCAATAACTATTTGAAGCAATAATTTTAGTTTAATTGGATTATATGTATCTAAATAGTAAGTACTGTGTGTCGTGTATTTGCAGTAAGGTCCGTCCACCGCGCGGCCCCCACCTTCCTTCAATATCCTCAAACAAACAACATCACAGACAACACCACCGAGGAACATTTCATTTTACAGTCGTTACCTGCGGACGTTTCACCCGGTTTTATTTATTTATTTTATTGCCCTTGTAGGCAGACCAGCATACGGCCCACCTGATAGTGAGTGGTTACCGTCGCCCGTGGACTTCAGCAATGCCGGGGGCAGAGCCAAGCCGTTGCAAAGTAGTAGGTAGTAGGTGGTTACTGTTGCCGATGGCTCAGCCTAGCAGGCGCTCCCTTGATAGCGCTATGAGTTTTGGTTGATATCCCAGTACAAGGAGAGAAGAGCCAAATTAGTGATTTTTTGAATTAGTTGCGGTAAAATTAATCAATTACATTATTAGGCGCTAAATCTAGTGTGAATCAAATCGTTGTTAGAAACAATGGATGCAAGCAGCAAGCTGATCAAACAAGCAAAGAAGTTAATTAAGTACAACGTGGGTGAATGGGAGCACCCCGTGAGAGGAGGTACCTCGACTCGAGTGAAGTAAAATGCTCATTCTGACAGTCGACTCTACTCAAACCAGAACTTGATTATAAGTGACTTAAAACAAAGAGAGACCGTCTCCTAGATAGTTTACTGAGGTAATCAAATTTATCAAGATGGGAAATTTCCAAACACGTTCGCACGTCTCCCGCGTCCGTCGGATACACCACGCTTCGCTGAAGAGAATATTAGAAACCTTAATACATCCTTAAAGTACAACAACAACACAAGATACGTGACGAAAGACGAGTCCATGGTTTCTACTCGTTCTTATTCATTTCTTAATATCTTTATAATCTCTGAAAGTGGGTAAACAGAAAATGTAGCTAATTTATTAACCACTTTCATATACCTACCAATATATACCAAACACATTAGACTGGGGCTATACAAACAATTATCATCTGAATTTCTGCGGATAACATCTCAAAAATCTTAGCCTAATGTTAGACTGTTATCATTTACTTACAAAGCCTCCTGAAGTACTCGCAGGCACAAGTATGTATTATGTATATAGTTGACACAGTATATATTTTTATCTTAATGAAAGACTTTTCGAGAGATTAATTCGTCAATAGTCTCTTAATATCTTATTTTTGTAGATTTTAATATTCTAATAATATATTGTAATTTTTCTAAGCAATTTAAACTAAATAGGGAAGATCTTAATTCGTCGTGTTTGTGTCATATTGTATTGTATTGTATTGTATAATGTAACTAAACGAATTACAGAACAGGTGAAGATACGTTTCCTAAGTCGAGCGAAGTCTTAAGTGATTAAATTTCAGCCAAATAACATTTCTAGTCATTTATTGTCTGTACAAAATGTAAACGCTCTTTGTATGTAATATTTATGACGTTTTGTTCTGACGTTCTTGTAAGAACAACTAAACTAGTTTATGTCGACTAAAGTTAAAGCCTTATTCTAGTTAGTTGCCACTAAAATATGGATTTGAATTCGATGCAACATCTTTGTCCTGCAAAAAATAACAGGGGCTTTTTTTGAATGTGATTACGGATATTCGATGTTTACAAAGTCCCAATGACTTTGTAAACATCGGTTAAAACAAAGTACATACTCTATTGTTATAACAATAATGTACAGAGATTTCTTTACAACGATTTTTTGTCTGTTTGCCACAGAGATGTAATGTTTTGATATTCAGAGTTTATCTGAACTATTCCTAAAGTCTGATAATATTACTTTTTATTTTTTGTAGTTGTATGCAATTGATAGTTCCATAGTCATTTAAGTGATCGCCGTGAGACGAGATCAACTACTTTTCACATTAAAGTTTATTAAATATAACTTAATGTAAGCCAAATAGAGCTTAAACTCCTTTGTAATAAATTAGTATAATCTTGTTCTGGTCTCACGGCCTGGACGGTCAGATGTTGATGCGTGCATCTCGCGGCGGCGCCGGCGCGACCAGGGGCGGTCGATCTATTGTAATTGTTATACAATAATTATTAATCCTGTATCCAATAAACGAATGTACATTAATTAGCGAGCGGTGTGTGTGTGTGTGCGCGCTCCCGTTACTGTGTGCGTGTGTTGCGTCACGGCCCCGCCCGCACTGCTAGTGCCGGAGTATACTGTCGCCTCACGCATCACGCCATCACGGCATCGCGGCATCACGAGATATGTAACATTTGTTATTTAATATTGAAACGGTGAAGTGACTGTGAGCTCTAGGCACTAGGGGTTGGAGCGGAGCGCGCGGGTCTCTCGGGCTCGAAGACTGGAACTGTATGCAGGTTACTTTAGGCATAACGCTAGAATGAATTTATATAAAGACGGAATGTTAATAAAAACTGAAATTTCCGAATAAAACCATGATTAAGTGTAATTGTGTTCTCATTGACGCTAATGAAGTGACGTGACACAGACGGATGGGCGGCCGCCTGCGAACCCGACACTAACAATGACGTAGAAAAATTCCAGTCGCTCGAATGCTATCTACAGATGACAAAGAAAAATTGGGAGTTTTAGTTCGCTCTAAACGCCAACACGACTCTGCTACGAACCTTCTAATTACGAGCAGATCGGTACCCGCCCTTGGGAAGACCGCGACCTCGGAGCCCTCCCGCGCTCGTGAGGCCGCGTCGTGGCCGCTCACACCAGGACGAGTGTCGAGTATAGATACACTTTGACATTTAGATCTAGGGCTGCGTCACCAGAGCTCGTCTTTCATTTTTTATTTTCATTTCATTAAATTTACCTTCTTTCACCGTTCCATAATGTTCAAATATTTTTATTAGATTCAGTTTGATAATAAAATATTTTTCGATTTTAATAAATGAAGAAATATTAAACGTTTCACCCACTTTATTGTATTTTGTAACATTGACGGCGGCGCGGCTGTCTAGGGCAATTAATTACCTACAACATTTCGTTTTGTTTTTGATGTTCTTGAAAATGGATCGTAATGCACCAAAGGAGCCAGCCGACTGTTAGAGCCTATATATACGAAACTAGCATCGATCCCAAACCGAATACCGTCGCAGATCGTCAAACCTGAACTCGATAAACTATCGCTTTGGAGATGACGCGACATTTGTTACAGAGCCGCTGTAACGATGTTGCTGAATCGCATAATCTTTCAACAAGGTCACTCCGCCAACTTGGCGAGAATGAATTTGTGATAGTAAGAGGAATCTTTGGAAGTTAAAGTTGTAGTTTTGCTATTGTAGGTAAATATAACTTGGTGACAAAAACCCTATTTAAGTCATTTAGTGGGCCTTTGTTCCTGTAGTGAGCTGATGAGCGCCTGGAGCAGACGCAGCAGTCACGAGCCATGTGACTTCAGATCTGGGCTTGACATTTCGCTTGAGGTGCACGGTGGCTCCGCTTAAAATTGTGGATAAAGGTTTCCGAAATGGCGGTTCTATAACTAATTCTTGGATGAAATTATTTCACCCTTGACCCAGAACTCTCACAATTGGATACTCACCGACTCATCTATGCATTTTCAGTTCAAATCTCACAAGAACCAATATGGTCACGTTTAGCATTCGGCTACTAAGTAATATATAAGTATTATAATAATTAACTGTTTGTTGAGCTGGCGAGCGTAAAAAAAGCACAGAAGTGCTTATAAAATCAGGTGATTTTGATTCACAACGTTAGAAAAACAAGCTATGGTTTTTACGACTTTGAGTTAATGAAAAGTATATAGTGATTAAGACGGTGAGTATTCCTCTAAGGGAGCCGCCCTCGTGCAGATTATGAGCCCCCGTTAAAGACTCCTCTGTTCTAAGGTCGGCGCCTCGTCGAGCGCCCGTCGAGCGGACGCCCCGTGCATATTCATGGAGCTTTGTTCGCGCCTTACTTGTTTTATTGCCCGTCTTCTTGTTCCGCATTTGATTTATACGAAGCATCATTTGTAGCCATCAAACATTAAACAGTTCTGTAAACGAGTTGCATCTCACACGACCCTTCACACGCTTTGCTGCAGATTAAGATTGATCTTGATT